TGAAATCCCTTATGCGGCCCAGCCTCACCCAGACTTTGCCTCCTGCGGCCCCCAGGTAAATTGAGTTTGAGACCCCTGGTCTACAGTATTTCTCTGTTGCAGTCAGGATTTCACAATAATTAACCCCGAAAATAACAATGAATCCACTAACGTTACCAGACTGCTGTTGTGTTTGCGATAAGGAGAAACACTAAACACGTGCGAACTTTGCTTATTTCAATCTGCCAACACAACACACATTCCTGATATGGAGCGGATCGGTATAAATACAACTCTACAACATTCAGGAGAGACATCATCTAACCTGCCAACATGTCTCTGAAAACCCGGGGAGGGGGTGTTCGGGCCAGGGTGAGGTTGAGAACAGTAGGATGCAGCGAGTTTTAGGCGGCCGCTTCGATCGGGTACTGTACCAAAGTTGGCAACCCGGGGGTGTTTAGTTTACAGACTGTACCAAAGAGGGGGGTGGGCGAACTTACGGGAGATTTTTCAGAATGAAATAAAAACAGGATGTTTGCGGGAGACTGGTCTGAAATACGGGATACTCCCATGAAAAACGGAAGTGTTGAATAATGATTTGATCTGCTGTAGTTAGAAATCAGACTGTTATATCTTCTAAGCGTATGGGCTTATATGCAGTTCTGTCGCCATCTTGCGGATAGAAAGCGTCAACTGTCGCCGACGAACTGTCTCTCAGAAATTGTAAATATTTTAAAATAAGCACTATTCTAGCAAATAAACTGCATAGTTGCCACCTAAACCACTACATTCTCCACTAAAAAAGCCTCAAAAGTACATTTTGTTGTGTAACAGCAGTGATATTTGTCAAACTGTAGTGTCTGCTTGATGCCGGCTGTATGTGGGCGGAGTAATACACAAAGGGTAAAGAGGTATATATATATATATATATATATATATATATATATATATATATATATATATATACCACAGTTCTGTCTGGATTAAAAGTGCCTACTTTTAAAATTTGGGTTGTGTGGGTAGTGAAACACCACTTATTTTTTTAGGACTACACCACTGCTAGCTCAATTTAGGCTAAAACAAGTTGTGTAAAATACATCTATTATGCAATATGAGAAAACATACATTTGTTGTTTTATTGATCTGACATCTGCGTCCTTTAAAGAGGCTGACGGTCACTTGAGCTGATGGTGTCAGTCTGATGTCGACAGTAAACAGAGCTCATATAGACAGCTCTTCTTTCAAGATTGCTGGAGATTGGATGGAGATTTGACTGTGTATAGATGTACAGGGATGTAGGAAATTAAGACCCACAACACAACACTTCAGTCAATGTAGGAGTCTTTAAGCCCGCGCGGACCCCTGTTCATCTCCAGCTCTGCTTCCTGTAGCGCCTCTAAGGTTAGCGTGAAGGTGTTGGTCTGGATGTCTTCCACAGAACTGTTCAGCTGTTTCTGTTTTTATCCCTCCGCCAGGATGCAGTGTCACAGCAGCGCTAACGTTCTGCTGGATGCCATTGCTTCACAGCCGCCGCTAATCATCTGTCTGAGCTGAAATAATGGCGATGCTAGCGACTAGCGGTCACTTCCTGTTCCTCTTCCTCCTGCTGATGCTTAAATATGAATGCAGATGTGGCTCCAGCAATCACACTTTGGTTATGTTCTGGTTTCAGGAGTTTCTACACACACACACGCACACACACACACACATCAGCTGGAGGTTTCTGACACCGTGGTGCATTAATGACCAGCAGACGGACAGAATGAGCCGTCCGGGACCACATTAATGACTAGCGGCGCTGCTGTTATCAGTGCAGAGATGCTGCTGACAGGAGCAGTCACACACACACACACACACACACACACACACACACACACACACACACACACGTATCTCCTCATGCTGTCCTCCCTCACAGAAACTGTCTGAGATGCGCAGCTCATTTACAGGTCCTGCAGAGCTGCTGTTAGCGCGCACAGAGAACTCAACACACACACACACACACACACACACACCTGTAGAGTCATCAGCGGCTGACTTCACACACACTTACATTCATGCAGAAAAGGGGATTATCAAGAGAGCGCAAGCTTCATAATCTGAGGGTCGTGTCAACACCGCTGGGGGGAACAGCCCAAACCCCTCTGTAGACTGTGTATTGCGGGCGGATACGAAGAATGATCCAGCTCAGCTCCTCTGAGTTCCTCCAGCTCCTCTACACTGTGGTTTGTGTGGCAGCAGCTGAACACTGAAGTTCCAGTTAACTCGACAGAAAAAATGCAGCAAGACCGGCGGGCAGCGGGGCTTGCAGAGGACACTACTACGACGCCCCTCGTTGGTATATGCCAAGTTCCTGCTGTCACAAAACGGCCGCCACCATTCCACCCCAGCATATGAGGGCCACCTCCAGTCCACCAGCTCACAAAGTGGCCACAACCGGCCCTCCAGCTCACAATATGGTCACCGCCAATCAAACCAGAGCGACTTCAGCTCCACACTCAAGGCCCTCTGAGTTCCACGCTCCAAGCCCTCCACAGCTCCAAACTCCAGGTATCCCCCCGCTGCATGGTCCTGGCCCCCTGTGCCTACCCCTGTTCCGCCTCCGCTCCAGCTCCCTCCTGGTTTGTATTTGGAGCATCTGGAAGCCGCTCTTTGAGGTGGGGCTCTGTCACAATCACCAGTGATCTAATCCTTACAGAGCTGGTAAAAACACAGACTGCTAAAGAACTACAAATCTGCTGTGTCGGGGACTACAGATCCAGTCAGGCATTCACACGCACACACCTGTTCCAGATCATGATTGATTACACTCACAGCAGGAGCTGCTCAAAGACTGATTACACGGTCTATAAAGACACATTGTTGCCCTGCTGAAAAATCCAGCTTAAACCAGCCTAGGCTGGTTGGCTGGTTTAAGCTGGATTTTTCAGCAGGGTGCTGAGTCTTGTTGAAAAGTTTTGTGAGCGATGCATTTTTCGTCTTGCTGTGTTTTTGACCCTCGCCTTGTTTGCTTGTTTATGTTGCCTGCTTCCTGCCTGTTCGCCTGTGTTTTGACCACGTCTCTGGGTTTCCCGTATACATCTGTTTGGCCCAAGGTTGACCGTTGCTTGCCTGACGACTCAATAAACCTGCATTTGGATCCGCACTCCATTGTCAGCGTCCCGTCCACATTCCAGCGCACACTCAACATGTATTTATGCTAATTTCATGATGTGAAACGCATATAATAGGTAAATGAAAACAGCTGATGTCGCATACAGTGCTCAAAGAGTGTTTATCATTCATTCCAGACACAAGACTGCCAACATTACCATCATTCAAGCCAATTCAATCATTAATAAAGATCAAAAAAACTCCACATGGACTGATGGAACTCTCTGTACAGGTTTATTTGAGACTTTATTGACATTTACACTGCAGGGCTCATTACAAAGTTGAAAAACAGTCCATGTATGAGCATCTGTTTCAATTAAACGTGAGCTTTCTCTGATAAACATGTCAAAACAGACGTATTGTGGATGTGATTAATCTGTGCTCGGCACTAAAATAGACATAATTCATGCGCATTTCCTTAACATTGATGCGATGTGTGTATGTTCAGCCGTGTGTGTGTGTGTGTGTGTGTGTGTAAAGCGGGTCAGTTCAGAGCGCTGATGAATGTGAAGCTCTTGAATAGCTGCTGTTATCTGCATCCGCAGCACGAGAGATGCAGCAATGCCCTCCAATCACGCTACGTCCAGATTACGCTAATCCAATAGTCCTCCTGCACGCCGCCCTCCTCTTCCCTGGCACCTTTCTAAAGCAGCATTCACAGCGCTAATGAGATTACAGAGACGAGCGCATGCGGCACTGCAGGGACAGTTTCAGCTGGAGCATCCATCAGATCAATCACACCGAGTCTGGCAGTCTCCGAGCGCCATCGACCGCACATCGGCATGCGTGGAAACGTGCGAGCGCTGTTCCTCTTGGAGGGTGAGATTGGTTTTGGACGTGTGTGTGTGTGTGTGTGTGTGTGTGTGTGTGTGTGTGTGTGTGTGTCATTAGGGGCTGCCGGATGACTCTGCGGCCCACTCACACACATCTCGTCCTGTGAAGAATGGCATAATCCTCCTGGGCCGAGTCAAAAGCGGATGGATGGTGGGTGGATGGAGTGGAGAAATGCGTGGAGGAGGATACAGAGCGCACGGTTTGATGCACACACACAACTCAGAGAGGTGTGTGTGTGTGTGTGAGATGGAGAAGGAGGAGCGGACGGGTGTTCATGCGGAAGCGCTGTGACTGAAATAGTTGCGTGTGGCATCGTGGGTCAGTGGATTCAGCACGCTAACCACCGCCAGTATAATCAGAAGTTTGCATCATTGATTCGGTTATTTCCATATCAGTGTTGAGTTACTTTAACAGGAGAGATTGCTAGTTGCTTCATTTCTCCATTACTGACTGATATTGCTTCTCCTGTGTCGGCGTAGAAAGATAGAAAGAGCATCACAACTGAGATAAACAGAGGATTTAAGTGTTATTGCTAGCATGCACGCTCAGCGTCCGCCACTTCAGTCTTTTATTTGTAGCTCTGCTTAAAGATGGACATGTTGCCCTAAACTGATTCAGTGTCTCTTCATTCTCTGCACATTTCTCTTTTGCTGTATATGTGCTGTGATGTTCAGTGGATGGGGATGATTGGGAGGCCATGATGGGTAAGGGCTAATGGAGGGAGTTTGGCCAGGACACCCGGGTTACACCCCTGCTCTTCACCAGAAGAGTTTTAAAGCAAGCAGAATATTCTGCCAATGAGGGAAGCAAAATAATCTTATGTCAAAGAGAAAAACGAGATTATTTTGATTTTCCCACTGGCAGATTATTTAGCTTGTTTCAAGGAAAACTCACTTAATGTTGGCATATTATTTCTTAAAACAAGACAATATGTTTTGCTTACCTAGAAAATGCTTCTTGATATATTTAGAAAAATATCTTAAAAAAAATAAAATAAAAAAAAACAAGACAAAAATCAAAGAAGCATTTTTTTGCAGTGAACACACACAGATCTCAGATCAGTCCATCCAGACATTTTAATCTGATTCATGAACTTGTTTGAAGAACTAAATTAGCCAGAGACCAGTTATCAAGATGAGTTCTATATAGACAAATTTAGCAATTTTGTTTTTTAAGCATGACAATAAAGCATGAACGCCGTTATGAATGTATTAAAACATGTGCTGTTTGTTGTCAAATTTATAATAATGGCAAAAAAACAAACAAACTAGTTTGTGCATCTCCTGACTGGCGTGTGCAGATATGCAGATATTTTGGGAAAGTGTGATGCTGGAAAATCTCAGATCTGAGGCCTATCTAGCGCTTCCCCCAAGCCCTACACCTTTAAGAGGAAGAGAATCGGGACACCCTTGGCCCTTTACATGAACATGCAAAATGAGTCTTACTGTAGCTCTGCTTAAATATGATGCACAAAACTGACTTACAGTCTCTTTATTCTCTTCGCATTTCTCTTTTGCTGTAAAAGTGGGTCACAGTTGTCAAAAGTAAAGGTTTCCTTGTGTTAATGCAGGCATGCATGCTCAGCTCAGATGGAAAAAATAACACAAAAGTAAAGTAACGCACTAATCTCCTTATAAACTAACTGAGCAACAGATTCAGTTTCCTTTTTTTAAAGTAGCACAAGATCCTGATGCATCACCTTCCCCAACACTGTTCTCCATTACTGGAATCAGTCTGTATCTGACAGATCATGGCAGAAAAATGACTTGATTTTAAACACTAAACGCAAATAATTTAGGACTGAATATAATAAATAATCATGAAAAATAGGAGATGCTTTATTATATGGTATATTTCTCACTAATGGACCATTAACTGTGAATTTTATCTCAATAAACTCTTAATTTGCTGCTTATCAATAGTTATCAGGGCAGTAGAGTTGGGTTTACTGGTAGGATTAGAGATATGCGATGCGGAATATACGCTTTATAAGTGCTAATAAATAGCCAATATCTTAGTAATAAACGGGCAATAAGCTACTAGTTAATAGTGAGAACTAGTACTTACATTAAACTGTTATTGTTCTTGACTGCATTTAATAAACCCGTGCACAACTGTTCAGACTGGAGGTCACACACGCTACAGAGAATTATTGAACACAAGAGTTACAGTCAGTCAGAAGATCAACATTTACTTTAGGCTACAGGTGTTGACTGAAGCGTTTCACACAGGCGACAGCAGAGCATGTACAACACAAGACAAAAGACAGACAGAGAGAAAACGGGACAATCTTCAGTGAGACAGAAGTAAAGCTGGAATATTGCTGAGAAATATCAGGGAATATTTAAATCAGGACTTAAACTAGAACATGCACACAAAACTGATTATCTGATGCCGTTATGTCTTCTCTTTTCATTCATCATTTCTTTACTTAATTATAACTGCATTGTTTTGTCTAGTCTGCTGCATGTATCTTGTACTTCTGCAGTCTTCATATGTTTGTAAAGTGCTTCGAGATGCCTCTATTAAAGGCGCTATATAAAGTGAAGTGTAATATTATTGTTATATTGTAGTGCGCTGACACTCGTCCGGCTGTGAATCTACCCATATATCCAGCACTGAGCACAGTAGAGTCGTCTATAAATACACTCAGCTCTTCACTGATGGTCAATTACCTGCTGCGATTCCCGAGAGTCAGCGATGAGACCACAAATCAATTTACACATCGCTCCGCCATTCTCTGCTAAACCAAGACCTCCATCCCTCCTTTCATCTGCTCTTTTCATCCTGCTCTGCTCTTTGAAGAACAGCCTCCTGCTTTCATGAGCAGATCCTAAAGAGGAAAAACACAAACATGGACACCAACAGGCCGCCGCCGCTCGGGCGTTTGATGTTGCACCAGCTCCACCTCAACCAAAATATACATGTAAATATTCATCAAATATTCATATTAAAGCAACGGGGAGGGGAATTAAACAGAAAAGCTGATAGAAATGAATTATCATTTTTTAAATGTATCTAAAATCAAATAAACAGACGGATGATTCTACTAATGTGGATAGATTATTGTCTTCATTTCAAAACACAAATCAACTGAACTCAAAAATGATGTTTGTGTGTATTTATGGACATTTTGTCTTGAAAACAGAAACTCAAAGACTTCCGCTCCGCTATCGTCAAATCAGCCACTATAAACTGATATATCGTCACCTGTTTTTGTCAACTCTGTTAACATCAACTCTGTTACCATCAACTCGGTTAACATCAACTCCGCCAACGCCAACTCCGCCAACGCCAACTCTGCCTTTGTGAACCTCATCACTGTCAACTTCCTTACCGTCAACTGCCATTGTCAACTCTGGCACCGTCAACTCGGCCATCATCAACTCTGCCACAGTAAACTCTGCCAGTCAACTGTTACCAAAGAGCATCAAACATCAAGTTTCCGTCAACTCCGTTTCAGTCAACTCCATCGTCAAGTCCGCCATGAATTCCACTCCATCAACTCCACCACCGTCAACTCTGCCAACGTCAACTCTGTTAGCATCAGACTTCAAGTTACAGTCAACTCCACCATCATTGACTCCACCACAGTAAACTCCACCAATCAACTCTGTTCTCGTCTACTCCACCACCATCAACATCAACATTATCATTTCCATCACCGTCAATCCTGCCAAAGTAAACTCTGCCATTGTCAACTCTATCATCTCCGCCTTCATCAACTCCGCCACAGTAAACTCCACCTTCGTCAACTCCGCCACAGTAAACTCCACCTTCGTCAACTTCGCCATCGTCAACTCCACCTTCGTCAACTCCGCCACAGTAAACTCCACCTTCGTCAACTCCGCCACAGTAAACTCCACCTTCGTCAACTCCGCCACAGTAAACTCCACCTTCGTCAACGTCAACTCCACCATCGTCAACTCCACCATCGTCAACTCCACCTACATCAACTCCGCCATCGTCAACTCCGCCATCGTCAACTCCGCCATCGTCAACTCCGCCATCGTCAACTCCGCCTACATCAACTCCACCTTCGTCAACTCCGCCATCGTCAACTCCACCATCGTCAACTCCACCATCGTCAACTCCACCTTCGTCAACTCCACCTTCGTCAACTCCACCTTCGTCAACTCCACCTTCGTCAACTCCACCTTCGTCAACTCCACCTTCGTCAACTCCGCCATCGTCAACTCCGCCATCGTCAACTCCACCATCGTCAACTCCACCATCGTCAACTCCACCTACGTCAACTCCACCTTCGTCAACTCCGCCATCGTCAACTCCGCCATCGTCAACTCCGCCATCGTCAACTCCGCCATCGTCAACTCCACCATCTTCAACTCCACCATCGTCAACTCCACCATCGTCAACTCCACCTTCATCAACTCCACCATCGTCAACTCCGCCATCGTCAACTCCGCCATCGTCAACTCCGCCATCGTCAACTCCGCCACAGTAAACTCCACCTTCATCAACTCCGCCACAGTAAACTCCGCCATCGTCAACTCTGCCACAGTAAACTCTGTTCTCCTCTGTTCTTGTCAACTCTGTTACCTTCAACTCCACCACCATCAACTCTGTTATCATATCTGCCACTTTCAACTCCACCATGTAAACTCCACCACTCTCAACTCCGCCACCAGGATTTCTGCCACAGTCAACTCTGTTACCTTCAACTTTGTTCTCATATCTGTCACTGTCAACTCTGCCACAGTCAACTTCGCCATCGTCAACTCCGCCATCGCCCACTCCGCCATTATGGACTCTGCCAACGTC